GATCAATCCGGGCTTCAAAGAGGGAGTCAAATTCCGTTTCAGAGTAATGATTTCTTAGAGCTATCATTAAACAATTTTAGAGCTAATTCTATTTACAGTTTTACACAGGTGCACTTTGATATGATTACATTAAAATTAATATGTGTGTTCCTATTTTTTTAGGGGTTTTTTTTCTTGCTAGAGAATGCAATCACAAATGAAATTTCTAAGAGATTTATTTTTTACAACTCAGAAGAAACTTTAAAGATTAGTGTATCCATCTAGAGCCTGTGATAATTGTTAGTGTGGCTATGGCACAGTTTTTAAATTTTCCTTCACTGAAAGAATTTTAGACTGTTTTCAGTATTACTGTTTATTAATAAATTCAGTATTACCCTCTCTTTTTCCAAGATATGGTCAATTTGCATGTTTGTATCTGTCAAAAGTTACTGAATAAAAAATTTTCTGGTATTTGCAGGTAGTATCAAAGGAGCAACAATAGTAGATGCTCTGGACACACTTTTCATTATGGAAATGAAAGATGAATTTGAAGAGGCAAAATCATGGGTTGAAGAAAATCTAGATTTTAATGTGGTAAGTTAAACAGAAGTTGCCAATTCGGTTCTTAAATCTTAGTTAATGAGGCTAAATTCTGTTGTTGGGCAGAATTATTATGGTGTACCCTAGCAGAAACAAATAATGCAACTTTTAAGTAGTATCACACTATATTCTTAACTTGCCCTCCCTTACAACACAAGTACACGTCTTTGTTTTTGGCAATTTAAAAGTACGAAAAAAAGACATTAATATTTATCGAGATCTACACGTGCCAAGTATTCTTATTCAAGTCCCACAGCAGCCCTATGGGTCAGGTATTGTTTTCACACCTTTACAGATTAGAAATCTGAGCCGCAGAGCTTTAACGGGAGCACACAGCAGCTCCACGTCGGAGCTGGGAATCAACACAGCTCTGTGGCTCTAATGCTGATACTTTTGCACTAAGCCAAGGTGCATTGTTATGACTTTGCTAAGTTAACATTTGTGAAGGGGAGCACAAGGTGCCAGATGGGGAGCTACAGTTTAACAGAAGGCCATGAAATTGAAATGGAGAAGTTTATTACTCACAGCTCCTAAGGAAGTTCAAGGCTTGCTTTCAGGGGCCACATAGGCAGGTCAAGGCAGAGTACAGACTGACAGACAAGATCTGGGGCGCATGCCTTTATTAGGTGGGTAGAGTACTTTGGACTTCCCAGGCTAAGGCCAGATTGGTCAGTTCAAACAAAAAAAAAGTCAGGTTTTGATAACCTCTGCTGGGGACTTTTCTAAGGGTGCACAAGGGGAAGGCTGGGGAGGCTTATCACAAGGGCCATCTGGGGAATCATATCAGGAACTTACATTAATTTCACCAGCTGTTATCTAGGGCAAGTGCTTGCGAGAGGAGCTGATTTCAGTTTACGGAGCCCACAGGCCGCCCGGCCACGCAGAGTGGATGCGGGGGCAGTAATTCCATGGAGTGGCTTTAGCTAAACTCCCAGTATGCGTCCAACAGCACCTGCATCCACTTTCCCTTAAATAGCCTTTGAACTTTGTTGATTGTATACCCTCAACTCTAAAATTTTGTCAGTATATATTTTAAATATTTTTAAAATTTTGTATATGTACTATTATTCTTCACAAATACCTCAGCACCCACAGTACCCCGAGGGGAAGGTTCAGAATTAAGGATGGGGGACACTTCTAATACTTCCTGGTAACTTTGGGAAGGAGCAAGGGACTCCCAGGAGGAGCTTCGTATCCAGTTCAAGTGTCTGTGGAGCTGCCTAGATCTGGGCAGAAAACTAAGGATACACTCCAGTGGGTGAGCTTTCTGGTTTTAATTTAATTTAACTTAAGTTAAAAATAATCCCAGGACAAAGAATCTAAAACAGATGCTTGGTTATTCCTTATTTACTCGCTCATGTATTAATTATTTGCCAAATATCTTTTAGTACTTACCCTCCTGGAGCTTATAGCCTATGAGAAAAAGTAGTCCCAATACCTAGCTATGGCTGGGTTTTCGTCAAAAGGCAGAAAGGAGAGAGGAAACTATGCTTAAAGAGTACTGAGACATGCTAAGTGATTTTTTTCCATAGCCTACCTCATTTATTCTTTGTGATAACCATACAGGGAAATGATATTTTCCTTATTTTTATAGATGAAGAGGTGCTTGCTTAATCTGCCCCAAATCATGCAGCAAGAGCTGTGGTTTGAACAATGTCCGCCTAACTCAGCGACCCAGTTTTTGTTGGAGAGGACATGCAAAGTGTTGAGAAATACATAGGTGGACAGAATATGAGTCCTCCGAGGTTGGGTATGTAATCTCAGCAGCACGGCGCTCAACGAGCGCGCTGTTCCATAGGTGCTCAGTAGGTGTTAATCCAGTTAATGAGAAGCCAAGCGGTCTTGTCCTGCTTCCCGGCAGACTCAGCTGGAAGATGAGCTGACAGGGTGCAAGGGTGGCTGTATTGTTTCGTATTTTTATACGGTCGAAATGATCTGGAGTTCAGGTGCAGTTGTTCTACTTGTTTTTACTTAACCTACTCCCAGAATGAATCTGTGGTGGCTCCCGTTACAGGAGATTATTAACACGTTTGCGGGAGATTATTAACATGTTTGCGGGTAGTTTTTATCGCGCACTCTACCAGTCAACGTAAAACGTATAAATATGTTTCCCGCATACAGTGTGTTAACATAAGGACGGATCATCAAGGGTTTCATATTCAGGCATTTTTAAGTTCAGTGCTGAGCTTCCTGTTCTTGACAGTTGCTTTAAAGAAGAATTAATTACCTAGATCATTACATGAGAAATATTGAAAATTATCTTCAGTTATGAATTTTATAGACTATGTAGAAATTTTCTCCAGATAACAGTATCTTATATACACTCTCAGAAAAAAGCCAAAGCTACATTAAAATTATCCTTAAAGTTTTGTTCTGCATTGAGGTAAAGTGATACCTCTGTATGAGAGGCCAGGTGTTGAGAATGACAAAGGAAATGATTAGCTTGCTGCAGACACTAACTGGCAACACACTGAGACGGTGATCTTTGGCACACACCTGGGTTGTAGTTGTGATTGTAATGAACACCATATGTTTTAGATAACAAAGATACTTGTAGCAAAAGTGAATTTATTTCTTAAAGTTCCAAACTGTTCTCTTATCTAGTCTGAATGTCACCCTACTTTACAGGAAAATAAGTTGTAGAGTTCCCTATCAGAAGGATGTAAGTGACTTTGGATTTTCTCAGATGCCTGATGAGTACTTGGCTTTGGTCCAGAGCTCCAGGCCACACAGCCCGAAAGGAGTGAGTTTTGCCTCAGTTGCTCTTGTAATAAGTCTGTCTTAGAGCAGCATGACATCCCAGTTGAGGGGAAGGCGGGGTTGCACATAACTAAGTTTACTGTCCTGTTGAAGGGCGTTATTCAGTATTTTCCATCTGAATGCTAATCAGTGCTTGTCTGTAGTGATGATTCAGGTTTTGGCTTTAAGAGGATACTGAGCAGTTCTCTCTGACAGTCATTAGTGATAGATTGGGCTGCTCCTTGAAGCCCTTCTGGACCTGCATGGTAAAACCAACCTAGTAACATAGAAAAGATGGTTATTTGCCTATCTTTGTGACCCAGAGAACTTACACTTTGTTTATCTTAAAAGGCTTATTGTGTTACTTAAATATGAAACTAAAAGCTGTTAGGACATATGTTACACTAAGCTGTACTCTTAAATATTGCAATCTAGTCTGTTAAAAGTTTTATACTTATTCCTAATCCTCAAAATGTTAATAAAAGACACACTTTGAGGTACCACTTATAAATAAAGGTGTATACTAAGCCTAGACATAGGCAAGGCTTATAGGCAATTATCTGTCTAATCAGTGGCTTTGAAAAGTCTCATGTTGTTTCCAGCATGTTTCTCAGTAAGATAAAGCCTAGTTAGAATACATCTTAGTAGTGGAAAATTATTATTAAACAGAGTCACTGCATTTGGATTGTAGTGCAACAGCTATTACACAGAGTGAATATTGAATGGTAGTCGAGCAGTTGTTATTAAACGTAGTCGGGCAACCTGCTTGTATCTTACGTATGGGAACAGGCTGAGAAACCCAGGCTTGTAGTTCACTGGGTAGAAAGCTGACAGGGAGTTTGGAAGAATCACTAGCAAATGATTCTCTGAGAATTATTACCCTTGAGAGAGAGGAGAGAATTACCTTTTTTAAAAGTGTCTAAGAATTAGTATTGAACATTCAAAATAGAATTAGCATATTTTTGAAAATAAAAGTTCTTTTCCAGTATGCCTTTTTTCAATTTACTGTAATCAGTTGGTTCTGTCAAGCTGTGTGGAATTGTAGGATAACAACTAAGGAGACTTCTGGTATAAGTTTGATTCTAAATAATTATCATAAGGTTTGAAAGTGCAAAGAAGCAACATATCTGTCCTTTAGGGGAAGCTTTTGCCTCTATAGTTCCTCAGTCAAAAGGAAACTGGCTGAATTGTTCCCAAACCTAAATTTGTTAGTCGTATGGTCAAACCAGTTATACCATTTACTGAGATCTATTAAAATAGATCATTTTATAGATAATTTCAGTGAATAAATTGGTCATGAGAGCCACAACCTAATAGGTTTCTCTGAGTTGTTTAAAAGCTTCCTGGCCTAGTGGGAGGAAGTTGGTCTTTCACGCACGTGTTTAAGCACTCGCTTTCCCTCTCGCCCGGTTAGGGGCAGGTTCTGCGTGCCTGGGAGCTTGTGGTCTGTTGATTGGCAGGAAGCCTTTCCCGGCAGAGAAATGGAGCATAGTGTTAAGGACTGGGGGAAGGAGATGTACGAAATGATTTATTGACTTAAACTCTTTTTTCCCTTTTAGAAATCTTTATCAGTTTAATAATTTTACATATATGTGTAGTAAAACAGAGGACAGAAATAATAGGAAAGGGCTAGACACTTAAGGTGGAAATGATCAGCCTAAGACACCCAAGACCATTTGAGAGGTTAGCATCGAGGGCAAATTTTACTCTGAATTGTAAGACTTAACTCTTGATTTTAGATGTAAGCTTAGTTCTGCCGTGTATTTATTTTAAATTTCCTTATGAATCTGGTTAAGTGTGTTCTTTGATTCAAAGGCTGTTGGCAGAGGAAAGTCAAAATGAAAGAGCAGATTCTCCAGTCCAGATTTTTTGGTGTGAATATGCCTTTAGCCAAAACTCTCCGACTTCTGCTTGTTCGTTGATTGTGATATTAACTAATAGGTGCATGCAGTTTAAACAGAGACTGGATCTACATCTCAAGCTGGAACTCGCATACGATGTGTACTGGAAGCCATAGACTACAAAGGGCGTATTCCTGGAAAGCAAACACTGACGAAGGAGACAGCAAAATTCACATTCCTCCTTAGGATAAGTCACACAAGGTTTTAGTGTTTCAGGCTGTTAGGGTTTCCCCTCCTTTGCCTGCTGTCCTCTCTCTACCCCGGCCCCTCTTCTCTCATTAGGGCAAGTCACTGGAAAAGTTTTAGAACACTGTAAAAGACACTGCATGAATATTAACAGGAGGAGTATATTTATTTAAATTTAATAAGATTATTTCAGTGGAAATCAGAAGTTTATAAAAATGGCCTAAAATCCTCAGATTGTAAAAATTTACCTTGGAAAATCCAGGTGTCATATAAATTATATCAAGTCCCAAAGGAAGTTTGGTCAGGATTCTATCTTTCAAAAGAGAGATTTTAGTCATTGAAAAATCACGACTCCCCTGAGTGTCAGAGATGTATCAGTTTGCATTCTAGAATTTAGAATATTATGATTGCAGAGCGTCTGCTTTTCCAGTAACCCCTGTGGACAGTCACTTAGGCTGAGCTTCTGTACAGTGGTGATGGAAGCAAGTCTCTATTGGGTGCTCTCCCTGTGCCAGAACTGGCGCACAGTGCTTCGCGCTCACAGACTCAGAGGGCCTTGTAAGGAATGCATCGTTCCTTGTACAAATGCGAAAACCAAGACTCAGACAGAGTAAGTGACTTGCCTGGGGTCTCACATTCAGCTAAGCTCCCGAGCCAGCCTTAAACCCCAGGTCTTTCTGAGGCTAGGGTAGTGTTTCTATAGTCCGCTACCCCTAATGTGTTAACCAATTTGTTCCAGTGGGAGAATTGTTATCACCTAAGGATCTATACAGGGTGACCTAAGGTGTCTAAATTCCCATCTGTTGACCTAAAATGTATAGCCCAGAAGGTTGAAAGAGCTCCCCTATAAGGTTCCTAAATAATTTATATTTGACTCTGGAAAAAAAAGAAAAGAGAAAAAATTTTATGTTGGGAATTCAAATGTAATACTGGTTTTTCAAAAGGAGGAAGATATGATGACTGTTGAGTGCTACTAATGGTGATGTGAGCTTCCTGAGCCAGATTCTTAAAGACAAGGACAGAGCAGTCACTGGGAGCTGCATGGAGTCACTAACAGACTACTAGATCCTTGAAATTCAAAAGACAAAGCAACTGACCTTGAGCATGGCACTTTGCAAGGCCGCCTCTCAATATCTTACAGACAGAGCTGGATAAATAGAATTTAGGCTCTAGAATACATGGCTGGATCAATAACTAGTTCAACAACTGTACCCAATAGGCGATTGATATACATGTAGCTCAAGATATATTTCTGGTGGTGTTTGAAGTGGCTCAGCCCTCTACCTTGCAATGATTCTTACCAGATGTCTATATAAAAGTCCTGAGTATCTAAAAATTATATAGGAGGAAGAGAAAATTCATATCTAATGAACCCATAGCCAGAGTAAGGATGTAAAATCATCTTAACAGGCTTCAGTAGGCAGGAATGTGGAGGACTGTTCTCAGATTTAGGAACTGAAGAACACAATTTCAGATTGAGAGTGATACAGTTTGAGGGTTTAGAGTCATTAGATTTTATTATTAGACATTGTTACCCTTAAACATAAGAAATCCACTGTGTGGTCCAAAATAAATTAATGGATTCCCTCCCCTTTTTCTTATGGGTAATTTTGTGGAATACTAAAACTTTTACAAATATGTACATAAACTCATTCAGAGTGATATACCTCATGGATAAATTGCACCTATATGGAGTGTTTTTAATCAAATTATATTAGGTGCATGTTACAAATTATGAAATACAATTAAACAACTCACCAAAGAGTATTTTATGACACTTTTGCCTAACTCTGGCCCAGTAATTCTTCCTCCTAAGTAATTTTCATAATCTTTTTGCAGGAAATTTTTTGAAAAAAGATTTTAACTTAAACAGTTACTTAGCTTTCATTGTAAGATTGTTATATTTTTAGAGTGATCATGTGAGAATTAAATGAAAATATATCTCATTTTTTCTCCTGAAACTCTTTTCTGCCACTGTAATGTAGACTCCGTGAATTTGGAGACCTCGTCAGTCTTCATTGCCATGTCCCTAGAACCTAGGGCAGTGCCTGGCACATAGAAGTTGGTTAAGAAATGTTTGTTAAAGGAAATAATATCTCAGATGATTCTGACTAAGTTTATCTGCCGGGTCTTTACTCGATATATTATAATTCGCTCTTCTCCCCCATGATTATCAGTAAATGGTTTGATGTTAGGCAGAAGTGAACAATGACTAAGTAGGCCCAAAGAACATGGAAAGAAGCTAACTAGAGCTTAAAGTGTACTCTACATCTATTGTAGGTTAGTTGTACTAAATTATCTAGTAACAATGCAGGACAAATACATTTAGTAGTCAGATATCATACAAAAATAGAAGTATTGGCATTATTTACTAATTATTGCCACAATTATATGGAAACTTGGTACATTGTCAAGTGAGCTGATATTGGAGTTAAGGTAACAGAGCCCTGGACCAAGAACTGTGTACTCAAGTTCGAATCCTGATTTAACTGCTTATTAGTTGTCTGACTTTAGAAAGTCACAGTAACCACTATAAATCTCAGTTTCTCCGTTTGTAAAATGGACATAAGGATAGCAATTATTTCAGAGGGTTGGTCTGAGGATTGAAAGACATAGTCCATGTAAAGGGGTTAGCACAGGATCTGGCTTATTGTAAATAATAATGAAAGCACTGTGATGACCCCTCCTTCATGCAGAGATGAAATCTCTTCTCAGAGAGGCATGGCCGTTCCAGGCTGCAGGCAGAGAGTTGGAAGCCAGCACCACAACCAAGTCCCCCACTTAAAATCTGGTTTGCGTTCTAGCTGTGCTACCTTAACATGATGTGAGAAGGATCCTGGAATAATGTTGAACTACCAGCCAAAGTAGGAGTCCGAGTGCCTTTCAGGAAGAGAATGCAAATGAATGAAAGGAGAGCACAGGACAGAACCACAGAGTGGCCTGGCTCTAGAGCATCTGCACAGAGAGGGCGCTGGGCATGGTATCTGCTGTTGAATAGAGGGGGGAAATAACTTATATCATAAATATTTTTATAATTGTGAGTTTGAGTCAAAATTATATCTATGTATTTTGAGGATTTTTCCCTCTTGTATATAAATCTCTCTGGGAAAGCATATATGAGTTGAACAAAATTTAACGATTTAGTGCACTTTCTCACAGTGATATTTTTCTCAATTGTGTACTGTTATTTTATGTATGAACCTCCTTTCTTTTGTTTCTACAGAATGCTGAAGTTTCTGTTTTTGAAGTTAATATACGCTTTGTTGGTGGTCTACTCTCAGCCTACTATCTGTCTGGAGAAGAGGTAATGAAAAGTGGCATATAGATGTGAATTACAAAGTGTCTTAAAATTACATTTTTAGGGTAAAATATGCTTTTTGTGGTGTGTTTAGGGGTTATCCACTGGCTTCATATTTTGATGGGTCTCTAGCATATACTGAATTTCACATAATATGTACTAATTAAATGAGCACACTGGGAACGTTTGGCAGAGCATGTGGTCATAGTAGGCAATGCCTTTAAAAAGCCTGGTCTATTGTGATATGGATAGTGTGATTATAACTACAAATTTTATATGTCTGTGGATAAAATAAAGAGGTTTAGTGCAGTGGCAGGCTTGCGGATGATTTTTTTCTTTAAAAAGTATTTTAATATTAGTATAATGTTAGCTCAATAAAAACTTTTTAAAATGAAGAAAGCTTGGCTGGCAAGTAAGATATATACAAATTATAGTATTTAAGAAACTGAGGGGGTGATGAGACACTCAGCTTTCCAGTGAGGGGTCCTGCAGGCCAGTGTTCCTGTGTAAAGTGCTTTGGAATTCTTGCTGGGGTGAGTTAATTCAGTATTTGTAGCTTGGGGCAAAGCAGGAGTTTTTAGTTTAGCTGCATTTTATTGATATATTTAAAAAATGATTTTTGTATCATTCTCATAAAGAGCTCAGGTTTTCTTGAAAGGTTTTGGACAATTTTATGAATAGCCTAAGTGTCCAATAAGAGTTGCTACAATGGACCTCACCTGTAATGTTGACAATGTTAAAAGCTGAGGTCAAGGAAAAACAGCCAATGTATTTCAGTTGCACGTCAGTCAGATTTGTGTTGGCCTCAGCAGTCTAGCTGGAGGAAGCGTGGATCTTACCGGGGGTAGTATTTCATGTATTGCTATGCTTCTTCAAACAGATTAAGCAGAGCAATAAATGTTAAACAAGAAAAGCTGCTTTAGCATTGTCCTGTCTCTCAGGTACCTTCCTAGCCGTAATAAAATAGCCCACACAATCTTAGCAGGTTCTCTCTCTTTAGATTTTATTCTACCATAGAGCTTTTCAAAGTTATACAGATGGCTTCTGTACTCCCCTATATCTGTCCTGTTTGCATCCTATTTACTTATTTATTTATTTACCATCACCATTTATCCCTTCCATGCCCTCTTCCACCTCCACCCCCTGCGTGCCCCCTGCCCCATCACCACACCGTTGCCCATGACCATGAGTCCTCTCTCTGTTTATGTCTTAAAGCCTGTTCATTATGGACTTTGTCACCTTCTTACTCAGGGTAAAGAGACCCTCTGGTAGGTTGTGCCTCTTCTCTTCTGCCAGTCCCAAATAATTTCAGTTTGATTTAGGGTGTTCTGAGCATTAAGCCAGGGAACCCATGCTTTTAAAAAGTCATACCTAAAATTACCTGATGCTATTTTAGTTAACAAATTTCTGCTTTTAGAATACTTGCCTTCGAGTATCTGATGTCTGAGAGTTCTCATTGTTTTCCACATGGTATACGTAGGATGACCTTGGCTCTAACCTTCACTTATGTGGAGGTGAGACAATTTGGGGGAAATGAAGGTTCATCCTTCTCTGTCTGGGCTCAAACAGGATAATCAAGGGCACAAAGAGAAACACATACATGCCTTTCTTCTAAATGTGCATCATCTTTAATTCGGATACTTTTTCACTTCTAACAGTGTTTTAAGTTTATACACATATATTTGTTTCTACGTGTATGCTTATTATAGACATGTAAGTGTTTACATACTTACATAAGTATAATGCCTGCAGATACTATAGTTTGTTTGCCTATAGAGAAAATCATTTGCCTGTGACCTTACTTTTTAGCTCTGTACTTAGCTAACCTTAGTAACAAAGGACTGCAAAGACGTCCATGGAAATTATTACTTGTTTAGTGTGTTTGTTTTGTCCTTATTCCTGTGCAAACATTGTTTCTATTAGATCTAGACTTTCTGATTTTAATTTTATTATGAAAGTTATGTAAGGTATTTTCTTTCTTGTCTACTTTTTATTTCTATAGCACACATTTTAATTTTAGTTCATAAGAATTCATCTTCTTAGCGTAGGTTTTGCCAAACTATTTCCTAACCATTGGGCAGGTGGGTTGTGTTCCGTGTTCTTGTATCTTTAATAATGTAGCTGTAATCAGTCAATGGAGATTAATTTTGTGGAGCGAGATTACCAGGTGAAAAGCGCCTGGTTCTGGATTATTTCAACATGACTTCCTGCTTCTTCCTCCCAGTCACCTCATCACTGACGATTATCTCATTGACCAGTGCACTTGGGGGACTTGACCGTCAGGAATGCACTTAGGAAAAATTATTTACTCCAAGCCTGTGTCTCCATATCAGAAGGAAATTTTGAGCATTCATTTAATAAAAGAATGCCAACATGTCCAAATTATGAATAACTTGGTTTCAGACTGTTGATAGAGTTCTATACCACACACTTTTATATAGGTCAAGGTATTTACTAAGATTATCTAAGAAAATCTATCTTCCTAAATTATCTCATAGAGAAGCTACTAAATTACCATAATTTAACAGTCTAAATTTCATCACTGAGGCTCAGGAGTATTTTGAGAACATCTTATAAATCATTGTAAGTATATAGGCCCCCATTGATATGAGCTCAAAATCCTAAATTTATATTGCAAAAAGTAGAAGAGGAAGTACCACTGATTTGTGTTATGTTCTTTGAGAAAATTACAACTAGAACCCTGAACAATAATCAGGAACGCCAGTGAAATTCTAAACCTATCAAAAGAACAATAGAAACATTAAATACCTATGGTAAACTTTGATTTCAAGGACATATTCAGAAACTTTAAACACCCTAGCTCAGTTCAAATATCTGATACCACTGGGAAAAAAAGTCAAGCAACAAGATTTTCAAAGTCTCTATAAGAAATGCAAACAACCACAAGTACTGCAAACAGGATAGAGATCAGATGAATACCAAATAGGAATGATCAGTATTAAAGATAAATAAAATAAATAGCATTTCTCTATTATGAGCTCAAGGGAATTTTAAGTCCTCATTGGAGACAGTAAATAGCATCTGGAATATCATTATCCAAAATATGTTCTATATACCACTGGTTCCTTTAGACATGACAGGATAAATCTGTCTGTACTCATACTAAAAATAAGTCAGAAAAAGCTACATCCTGTATTCTTTCTTAGAAATCCACAGTGCACAGGAAAACAAATGAATTAAATTTTATTAATCTCTGTGTTTCTTATATTTACTTAACTATAACCCCTCTTCCTTTTTTTATGTAACATCTTCTAACACTGGGTTACAAATGTTGTTTCCCAGAACAAATTTTGGGAAACACCATGGCAGAATAAGGGTAACCAAAGCAAAAATGATTTTGAAAATTGACAAACGCCAAACAAGACATTGCAAGAGAAATTGATACGTGTAGAAAATAGCACGTATGAATATCCCACATATTATTATCTGTTTTACAACAGAAACCAATGGCTGTATTGAGCAGAAAGTGACTTTTATAGGACATAGTGATGCCACAGAATCAGAGAGAAGGCTGAAGGATAGGCTGGAACTAATAGTCTCAAGCTGCCACAGAGAATTTCTCTGGCTTGATGATCACTCTGGGACATCCTAGAATTAATAAACATGCACTATTTTTTGTACCCTTGTCAAAAAAACAAAGTCCCAGGGAAAAGAGGTCAATTGGCAATTTCGGTTGCACGTGGTCCCTTGGGGACCTTGGGGAATGAACGAGAGGGTGTGATAGAAGCAGTCTTCCGGAGGGTTTGAACTCAGTATCCTGTGAAGGCCAAGGAGAAGGAAGTATGAATAATTCCTGAACAGCAGATCACTGCCCTATTAGAAGGGGGGAGAGAATAAATGTTTGGGAGCCAATAACAAAAACAAAGAAGAAAAGACGTAAGTCTACTATGAAAAATAAGGTTGTCAGAAAATAGGCACGCTTATGGAAACTGATAATTTAATGAAATGCTTCAAAAAACTTCCCTGAAGTTTTTTAAAAACTACTTTATTCTGTAAATTAAAAGGAAACATTTAGAGCTAACAAGGTATTTAATCCCCAAAGGAAACATTCTGAGGAGTATGTTTGAAGTATGTGAACTAGAAAAACAAAAGACCAGCTCCTAGAAACGAAAAGATTTGAAGAACTAGATGTCAATGAGAAAAGGTAATTAGAACATCTGATCCAAGCCTGGGGAAGCACGCATAGTGGATCCTTCCATGAGGTCAGTTTGCTCTGCCAAGATATCCTCCATTTGGAAGGCAGCAAAGGGAGTTTCCCCAGGTTCACCAAAAGAAGTCTGCTCCGGACCCCAGTACCAGAGGCTGCTGAAGGACTTCCTGAGAACAAGAAGTAGCCACCGGTACCACTGAGTTTAACTATCCGGGGAAAACATGTAAGGGGAGGGTGGGAAAGAGAGAAATAAGATTGAGGGTAGAAGCTTAGTGCTGGAAAGATCTATTTTTTCTTTTCTTTTTTTTTTAAAAAAATATATTTTTATTGACTTCAGAGAGAGAGGAAGGCAGTGGGAGAGAGAGAGAAACATCAATGATGAGAGTCATTGATCGGCTGCCTCCTGCACGCCCCCTGCTGGGGATTGAGCCCGCAACCCGGGCCTGTGCCCTGACTGGGAATCGAGCCGCTATCTCCTGGATCCTAGGTCGATGCTCAACCGCTGAGTCACGCTGGCTAAGCTATTTTTTTCTTTTAATAGAATTCAGACATTCAGGTGTTAGGAGCCTGGACATTGATGTTGTAGAGTTTTTGTAGTGATGATCATAAAAGTGTTTATAAATCCCTTAGAAAATTAGGATGCGTTGATGGGGATACCTTTTAAACTGTTTGCCATAGTCCCCTAAAGAGTTAAAGCCACCTCCCAGATCATTCATCTCCTGCCTCGTTCTGCAAAGAAATTAAAGTGACTTACAGAAAGTGTGTAATGTACACAGAGCTGTGAAAAAGAGAATAAAGTCAGAGAATATTCAAGTCCCAGGTATAATCATCAACA